AACAGTTTACATTTTTCAGGATTCACTCTTAGGTATACTCTTAGGTAAACTTTATTTAGGCTGAACGTGGTGTGAAGAGCGCAGACAAAGGAGTTCCCCTTGTGCCTCTTTTCAAAGAATGGAGCCTGATTAGTAATTGCAGATTGATGCTATTAACTTCTTGTTTCATATTCACCTGGGAGGTAAAGGCTTTTTGATATCACATAGAATTCTATGGCTTTCAAGCTTTCTACACCAAGATTACTATTTAATTTTGTTAAACACACATGAGGTCATCTTTAAAGCTTCTGGAGACCTACAGTCAAGATCACTAAGGCAGCTGTTTGAATTTAATATTTATTGGTTGTATTTTCTTTCTAAAGTTGATCCAGAAATGGTATGCCAATGGCTACTTGATTTCTAAATTCTCTGTAACAATTTTCCAAATGAATATAAATTTAACAACATAATAGCTGTATACCAAGACAAAATGTGAAGTGGAAATAGTGCAACTATTCAGCCAAAGCTAAAGTCACCTGGTAAGATTGTCTACCTTTATTAGCTCAATTTTATCAATTGGGTATCTTCAATCTTCATGCAATGTGGACCCCATATGACTGACAGCATTTCTACAGATGACAGGAGTAACTCATGCCATTTAAAATGAGCTGTTTTTCACTACTAGTCATCAGATATATCTTGGTAAAATGTGGTTAGAGCCGTTATGTCAGCTTTCTCACTTACTTCAAAAGGTGTGATATGTTCTCCATCTGTTATATGATCCCAGGCTAAACAGCTACACCGAGGCTGTGTTCTTACTCAGGGCAGTGCTTTTATGGAGGTGTGCCATAAAAGCAGCCAGGTGCCGGCACCCTGCCCAAACGGTTCCCATTACATCTGCACGGGGGTGATGACATTTCAAATGTCAGAACTTCTCTCAAACCAACTAATTGCCTTAAATTCTAAAATAACTATGTTTTGTACTGTATATCCATATGCCTTGGAATTAGCAAATGGACTGAAGCAAACGTAAAATCTTAGCAGCAGGTCAACTATAAAATGGTGTATCTACTCAGAAAAAAATCAAATACGTAAATCGATGTCATTTACAAGCAATCAAAAATAGCAGTGGGCTTTTCACCTTCCATTGGTCACAAAGTCTGGTTAAGCTCCCTGGGTTAATTCTAAAAAAGAGGAATGTACGCATTTTTTTTCCTTTACTCTGTTCAGAATCCTTCAATCAGACATGTAAATAATAATCAACATGTTCTAGTAGGGTCTAAGTTAGTGTGTTTGGGTACAAAATGAACAACCATACTCACAGAGCCATGCTGATTCCTGAAATGACTTCACCTGAGAAGCAGAGCAAGAATGTCAGGTGACCAGATCAGAATCCAAACAAAATAAAAGGCTGGAAGGATACAAATGTAATAAAGATGACATTTAGCATGAATAAATGTGAAGTTCTGGTCTTGGTCCAAAACAACCACCTCCCAAATACAGGTCAGGGAAAAGTGACAGTTAGAACACTACGGCTCCATCCATATAAGCCAATGAGGTCTGGAAGTAAATTATGGTAATATTCTATTCATGAAAAAGAAAACACAATTCTTCTCTCGCTGTGCTGCTCAGAGCACACCTAGAATATCTGCATCCACCCTTAAGCATCAGCTTTAAAGAGAAAGACTGACAGCTGGGTGGGTCCACAGGGGTGCAAGAGTCATGGAGTCCTGCCACGGGAGGACAGACAGACAGCCAGAGACACTGAGACATTCAAACAGAGAAAGAGAAGACACAGAAGGAGCCTAACAGCCATGTCTAAATGCCTGAAGCACTGTCATGGGAAAAATGCAGTAGGCCTGTGCTGGGTGACTCTAGAGCAGGGATTTACAGCCAGTATACTGCAGCACACTGGTGTCTGTGAGAGGTCTTAGGTGCTGCTGGGAAGATTTTTAAAGATCATTAAATTATTTTTGAAAGAAGCTCAAAGCACAGTAAATATATATATATATATATATATATAGTTTTTTGGGGGGTGAGCATAATTTAAGTGTGCCTCAGAAGTTTAACCATAGGTTCAGATGTGCCATGATATAAGAAAGGTTGAAAAACACTGTGCCTAGAGAGATAGGACCAAAAAGTGGAAAATGTAGAGGAACATAATTTCAACGTGACATAAAGTAGAATTTACTAGACCCTGCCTCCTACTAACAGTGAGAATGCTGCCTCAGGAAGTAGTTAGCTGTCAGTACTGGAGGTGTCTGACCACCAGCTGGGATTTCTGCAGAGGGGAGTTCAGTCCTTGGATGGAAGTGGGATGGAATAGGTAATATTTAAAATCCATCCCAGTCCCTGAAATTCTGTAAGTCCATGACTGGTCATTGTCTTAGAAAAGTATTCAGTGTGAACTGTCTTCTTTGGGAAAAAGAAAAAGTAACACTATTGGAGGTTTAATACATTCATTTTACTCTCTTAGAACATAATAAAGTAAGAACTTTCAATTTTCAGAGTCCACCTTGTTTGTCAATAAATACATTTTTTTCTTAAAACTGTCCATCATCAGACAGCAGGAAATTTGAAATAAATTGGGGCATATTTTAAAAAACTCTTAACATACATGTTAATAAGCGGTAAAAAACATAAGTAAGCTTTTGTTAACCCTACTTACTCTTTTTTTAAAAACCGGAGCCTGAAAACCTAGAGAACTTTTTGTTCATAGCACAGAGAAAACAGCTGGTATTGTGGCAAGAGTTCAGGGTATCAGCTGTCTGGTGGCACTGGGGAAAATTCAGTTCATTAGTAAAGGTACTGAACAATATCTAGCAAGTTTATAGAAAACATTACAGTTTAAAAGATGTTTTCCTATATTTTGGGTCAGAGCTCTGTATTGGATATCTGATATTAAAAGAATAAGCTTTTGGATTTGAGTGTCTAAATTGCAGACATCTTTGCTAGGAAACACACTACTGGTCTATTAATTTGGGTGCTCGATGGAAGAATGTGTCTTTGTATTCTAAAATTTAAAACACCACATAACAAGGCAGCACCTGCCACCCCAAACACCATTTGTGATGTTGCTAGAGGAAAGTCAGGGACCAGAAAGCACAGAAGGGAAGGTCTGCATTTTACACATTTACTTAGCACTTGTCTGCTTGGAACACCATCATGTCTACAGCAAAAACAATGACACAAGGGAGAAAGGATCTCACTGTTCTGGAAAACACACCACTTCTCAAATGGGGTTATGTTAATGTTTATTTTCTCCAGGCATCGACATAATAAATCTGCCTTGTGTGAGCCCCTTAGTGCAGTGCTACAAATGCAAGGTTTTCACAGACACCCACCCTTCTAAGTCAGCAGAGCGAGGCTCATACGTTTATGGTGCCTTCAACAGAAGGAGTATTGGCTACAGAGTCAGCATCACACTGAGAAAAACTCAGTTTCACTGTTATGATCTGAATCCTTCTTTCTACACTGAGCATGTGACAAGTAAGTCCCCAAGGGAAGCTGGAATTAGAGAAGATGGAAAAACAGCTCATCAGTTTTCTTGAGAGGGGATTTTTATGGTATTGGAAAATAATGGGCACGTTGCACAAACTGTGTGGCATTCAAGGTGTACAAGAATCATCGTGCAACTTCTAGAATGTTCTCTAGAAAAGCAGATGCACTATTACCATTACTTTAACTGCCAGCTTTGATGGGCCCCCCTAATGGAACACACTCATCTTAGTCACACTGAGGGAAATGTTCTGTGGTACTTGGCTCAAATGGCCCTCTGGTGATTCAGGTATCGTGTCCTCAGCTATATTAATCTTTTTAATGAAAACTACAATCTTTGCATTGCCTATGCAAGACACTCTTGGGCATAATGACATTATATAAAACCCCTCTATCCTCCTACTTGGTGCACAGTTAAAGCGGGATGGAATGGGGAGGAGGTTGAAGGGAAACAGGTAAGCAGAGGAAAAACAGGTCAGCTTACTACTCACCACTTCTTTATTATTAATTCAACTACAGATGCTCTTTCCCTCTCTCTGCTCCACAGACAGCCAGCACCATGAGCCAATGCCACCCCTCACCGCCTCCTGCTCCCATCAGCCCAACCAAGTGGATAACCCAGGGAAACAGAAGGACGATCTTTTAGGACAAGCTGTGTTCACTATTTAGAAATAGCATGGAAATGTGCAAATTGTTTCTCAAGAAATAGATCCAGAGATGGAATCAGTCACTGTTACAGTACTGCCCTGTGGCCAGTCGTAATATTAAATATTTTGTATTGTTTTGTCCTCTGAGCTCTCTAATATAGTTGTTACCCTGTTTGCTCTCATGGGTCTTAGGTCAAAATTCATGAAAAATAATGAAATCACCAGACCTGGGCTTCTATTATTGTCTTATAATGTTACATGTTCTTGTATTGACGTATCATTGTGTTGACAATAATATGGAATATTATGTGACATTTAATAGACCATTCCCTTTCTTAGTGCTTGTATCTTTACCTCAAAGTGGAATTAACAAACCCACTCTTTAACCTTTCTCCCTAAGCTGTGGTAAGGCTAAGGCAGAGTATTTGTTTTATAGGATACTTGCTAAAAGCAAACCAAAGAGAAATTTTGCTGTATTATAAGGCTAGAAAAAAATAGTGGGTAGATCAGGACACCACATTTCAGACCCATTTGCTTATAGATGGTGGAAGAGTGAAGTGAGAGGCCTAAAATCTGCCAACCCAGGGGGCTAAAGGAAACTTAATTTTGAGGAAAAGGTCTAAGAAGTCATGGAACATCCACATTTACGATGATTAGCCTAATGCTGTTACCACGACCTATTAATGCTTAAAAGGGAGAGAGGAAAGGTGAGGTGGCCCTACTGGAATATTCCAAGGACCTATGTTTCCAAGTGTTAAGACCAAATCCTCCCTGGTAGTGGGTGAAGCTGTCTCCAGAGGTTCTGGGCTGTGTGCACCACGTGGAGACCAGGCACTCTGACTCTGCTTTTTTTCCCTCTGTTTCTCCCCCTCACAGAGCTCTCAACATGGCGGCTCCTCTACCTCACTTGCGTCCACCAAAGTCTGCAGCTCGATGGACGAGAATGATGGCCCCGGAGAAGGTGATGGGCTTGGGACTTGGTATCTGAGGAGGCAGAGGATGGGCTGGCTGAATTGGCTCTAAAAAACTATAATTTCTCAAGCAGCATGACATGGACAAGGCTAGGCAGCTCTTGAGGGTTATTGAAAGGGTATATAGGATTCTCTACTCTGTGGGAATGAGAGAGTTGGCTCAATCTGGAGATGTTTCTCATCTACGTATCCTAAGAAGGCCACCTATTGCCTGCTTTGGAAATAAGAGGGGATAATTGCTGCCTTTGTTCTCCTAAACAGTGTTCACTTTTAGTATATGAAAGACAGTTGACTCTCTTGACCACAGATGTATTAGAATAGTACCACAGATGTATTCTAACTTAAATGAATTCAATATATGAAAATATGACATTATAAAAAGGATTAATTAGTGGCATTCCCAAAAATATCCTTGAGCTCATTCACTTCAGAATTTCTCCATGTTGTGGTCAAATGACTCAAATTTCAGAGCTATCTTTTTCACTAATTCACTGGGTTGTTTTAGGTCAGCCTCTTCCACTCCCCACACTTTAATTCCTCTTCTATAAAGTGTAGATTGTAGTACATCCTCCCTGGGGTTTTTTTTTATCAGGCTCAGATCAATTATGGAGAAGTATTATATTTAGAAAAGTGAAAGTAATACAATCAAGCTACACTTCAAAGATTAGCTCTTCTTAATTGGTTTAAATGACATGATTTAATTTTTTCCCAAAATGCACACTTTGGGGGAAGCACTATTATTATGTTAAGTAAGATACGTGATTTGCATAATAATTATTTCATGACTACCATGCAATATCAGACTTCTTATATTTGCAGAAGTCTGAAACTCAGCCACCCAGATGTCTCTGTTATTCCAGTGTGTTGTGTATTCTCCTAATGAAATGGTTCTTGACCTAAGCCTTCCCTGAGTCTTCTTAGTCAGAAACCTAAAAGGTAACTTATATCAAGAGCCAGAAAAACAATCTCAAGCCACGTGCTTTGAGTGGGGCGTCTCAGGGAATGCTCCCACTCGCAGATAGATTAGAAGATGCACCTTCTTATCCCATCTTGCAGGCTCACACTTGCTCTGACAGCCGGAGATGGTTACTTTTATTACCCACGTAGCAAAGAGTCTTCAGACTGGGACACCTGGGAGATGTTTTGTAAATTTGAGTGCTTTACAGTAGAAAGAACTCCCCCAGCTAAGTCCTGTAAGCAGAGGCAAGCTTGTGTCTTCTTTGGGTGTGAAATGGGGGGCTGGGGACGATCGACCCAGGCCCTCACGTTACTCTGGAGACAACCTAGATAGGTTCTAGCAGGGTAAGAGTGAAATGTCACCTTTAAAGAGGTAAAAAGGCCGCACAGATGCCACAGACAAAAGTAGTGGCAGCAACTGTCCTGTAGTTTGTTCAACACTTTCCAAAAATTCCATCCACTCTAGAACCCCAAGTGGTGCAGACCCAGCATCATCACAGACCAGGATTGCAGCCCCTGATGTGGGTACCTGACAGTCACAAGTCTCGTCTGTCATCCTCCAACCATACAGAGTACACGCAAATGCAGAAATCACAAGAAAGCCCATTCACCACCTAAGGCTTTCATTTTATTTTGAGGAGAAATGCTCAGGCTGGGTGTATGGTGTAAGGTCAGAAGAGGAGCATATTTAGAAAACGTGCCAGGCTTCCATGACATTTGTATTCAGGCCGCCTGAGGGAGAACTAGGATTTATAACTTTGAAGCATGTACATTTTAAAGCCCGGCCATAAAAGGCTTTTTACACCCCAAAGATGTTAAAGGTTATCCAGCATATTTATGTGACTTAAGTATGGCTTATTTAGTTTTATGGCTTTAGATATTTAAAGCATTATTAGGCATTTGTAAAATATTTCAAAATGCATTTTCAGAGGGAAAATGTGTTGTGTTAGTGGCACTAACATAATTGAAGCTACAGAACTGTTCCATTCACAGACATAATAGATACTGTAATTTTAACTCGACATCTGCTCTGCAGGTTGCTGGTAAAACATTTGTCTCAAATCTGCTCACTGAGACTGGGACCGGTGGCTGTCGGTGCTTGGTTCCTAAGGAATTTCACGGAGATCTCCGTTTCAGGATGTAGTAAAGCTAAGCATCCAAACAGCAGGCGTTTTTCATGCTTGTATGATGCTACGCGGCCCAGAGTCCCTTGCGAACTACATTTCCTTCCTGTGCCATCTGTAGGAATGTCATTTCTCCATACACAGTGGGTATTCAGTAAATGCTGTTTTTCAAGTTGGCACAAAGTGAAAAGAAGGAGATTTCCTCCTCAGAATCCCCACTGCAGCAGATAACCCAAGGCTCCCTTCTGCAGGGGGGGGCGAGTCCCGGCCATCTCCCTTTAGTTATCATTTGTCTTGGTAGAAACTGTTGAGTAGATACCATGTCAGCAAGGGAGGGTGATGGTGGCCTCACTGTACAAGAAATGATCTATTGATTCTGAATCAGTTCCAGTCTCTTAGATGGTACTTCTAAATGTTTCCTTGTGCAACATCTGTGTTCCCTTTTCTACCAATAAAAAAGTATTAATGATTCTTTCAGAAGTGTCCGAAGAAGGCTTCCAGATTCCAGCCACAATAACAGAGCGATACAAAGTGGGAAGAACAATAGGAGACGGGAACTTTGCGGTTGTCAAGGAGTGTGTGGAAAGGTGAGAGAGACATCATTGCATCAGATTTTAAAGGTGACATTGGGGATTACATTTTTCCAACATTGTGTCTCTATTTGCAGTCAACCCCAAATGCAAAAAAAAAAAAAAAAGTTTTTGTAAAAGCCCATCTAACAACAGATTGGAAAAATGTAGTGATTCCTATCAATTAAGGACTTTTGATTTTAACTCTGCCAGCTCTTTCAGGTAATTCTTTTCATTTTGTCAAAAAAATAACATTGAATAGTTTTCCCCACATTTTGTGACATATTTTGTCGAGGTCAGGACATTCTTGTGCAGAGTTTATGTCTGTTATGTGTACTGTCATAAAATTAAATACATAAACCATAACCGTGGAAAACTGTAGAATGCGTATGTACTGCCTGCAACAAACTGGTACTTAATACATTAAAATGCATTAAAATGAATGAGCCAGGTACTCTGTGAAGAAAGTGAAGGGTTTATTCCTGGGTTCTTGATACCTAATTGAGGACAGTAGCTGGTGGCTATTTGATGGAAGAGTGACAACTAGTAAATTTAGGGCCCAGGCAGCCTCAGTCCCCGATTTCTTTCTTTCTTTCTTTCTTTCTTTCTTTTTTTTTTTTTTTGAGACAATCTTCCTCTGTTGCCCTGCATAGAGTGCCCGTAGCATCATAGCTCACAGCAACCTTCGATTCTTGGGCTCAAGCAATCCTCTTGCCTCAGTTTTCGGTTTTTTTGTTTGTTTGTTTGTTTTTCTATTTTAGTAGAGACAGGGTCTTGCTTTTGCTCAGGCTAGTCGCAAACTTGTGAGCGCAAGCTGTCCACCTGCTGCAGCCTCCCAGAGTGCTAGGATGACTGCATGAGTCACCGCACCCAGCCCCCAATTTCGTTTTATGGGCTGTTGCTTGCTTTAGGGAACTAGGCAGTCAGCAACTGCTTCTCAGAGCAGAATGGGCAGAGTATTGAAAAGTCAGGGGGAACTTGCCTCATTCCTTGAGAGGCATGTCCTCTGGCTTTCTGCGGGCTGGCCTACAGTATCCACACTTCCCTATTGTTCTTCTTGGCCCACGATGAGGCTGGACACCCTAGCAGTTCCTCAACAGCCTGTGAGAATCATGCTCTATACTCCACTTAGATCAGATGACTGGGTCTAGAAGACAGACAAGGCTTTGAAGATCCAGACCAACCTCGTTCTCCCCTGATTCCTGCCATATTGGAGCTGGATGACCACACGGGGCCTCAGACACCATGAGGATTCTTAGTCTGGCCAATATCCACTTGCGTGCTCCCTGCACCCCTTGCCAATCTTTGGAAGATGCCTCCCCAGCTAAGATGGCAGAGCCCTCATTAAGCCACATTTGGGCAGTGAACCTAACACCTTTTCCCACTCCACATTTCAGCTTAGCTTGGATATTCTCTACAGCGACAGATACCCCCTAGGGCAGACACTGCATCAGGGAGGGATATGAGCAAGAGGTGGCTTGAAAAACCCCTCAGACCATGCTGCCAGGATACCTTTTTCCTCTCTCCCTCTCATCCGTCCACCACAGAGCAGGACCACTTGGTACAAGAGTGTCAAACATAGATAATGTCTCATCACATTCCTGGGTCTCACACTTTCCAAAACGGAAGCAACCAAGATTTAATGAGCATAGATCAGCTACAGAGCTCCTAACTTACACAGGGCAGACATAAAGTTCATGTGCAATTTACCATGTTAAACTATTTTTAAATTGCACGTGAACTTTATGTCCACCCTGTATTTCATTTAATTAATATAATAATTCCACTCTATCAGTATTACATGTTTCCCCAAAACTAAGATGCTGTCCTATATTTTATTTTTCCTCAAGAAGACACACTAGGGCTTATTTTCAGGGGATGTCTTCTCTCCACGCTGAAATGCATAGCATGGCTGTGCAGTGTGTTTGCACTAGGTCTTATTATCGGGGTAGGGCTTATATTTAAGAAATGCATAGAAATCCTGCTAGGGCTTATTTTGGGGTAGGTCTTATTTTCGGGGAAACCCCGGTATCTACATTTTATAGGCTGAAAGCCTGGAGAAGTTAAATGCCCAAGTTTGCTCAGCTAGTAAGTAAGTACCCAGCTCTGAGCCAGCTCCAGAGCCCACATTTCTAACCACTCTACTCCACTCCCTCTAATAAGGGGTCTCTTGGAAAGCTCTGGCCTAGCTGAGCCAAAGTCACACTCATCACATTTGTCCCTAAACAAATAAGACAGAAATTAAATGTAAAAAGCGGTTCTTAAGGTAATGGAAAGAGGTGCATATGTGAGTATAATTTTTATATAATTTTTTATTTCATTGATACTGTTATCAGTAATAAATCCGGCTCTTTTTAGCTTTATTTCCACTGTAGCAGAAAGCCCCATTTTTAGCAGATTTGCATGCCCTCACACTGAGGGGAATCTGGTTATTTGCCAGTGTTCATCATCTGTTCAGTCTGACACAGAGACCACATGCTGTGTCTCCTCACAAGCCCGGGGATGGGAAGACATCTTAGTCCAACAGTACTGGTTTTGTCATGATAGAAATTTCCATCTCTCCATCCAGAAGTAATTTGTTTCTTTCTAACTTGGATTACATTCATTTTGCACAAGTTCACGTCTTGAGTCTCAAACACTGATTTGCTCCTTGAAGGGTCAGGATTCAGCCCCTGCTGAAAGAGGACAAATGGCATGTGCCCTCAGTCCCCAGAGAAACCACAAAACATTCTTGTAATATTTTCCAGAGGTCCAAGAAAATAAAAGTGAGCTAAGAATGTTAGGAATGGCACACAACCCTGGCGGGTACATTCTGCCTGAATTTAAAGGATGAATATGTATTAACAAGGGTGAGTGTGTTCCTCCCCTGTTAATAATACGCTGCCACAGGCAAGATTTTCCTACCACAATGGACACAGTAACAAGGTCTTTTGTGGTCCTGGGCCAGCATATTCTTTAGCTGATACATCCACTTAGATTTCTACCTGTGCTGGAGGAGCAGCTTCTTGAGGGACCTAGGGGGCCCCTAGGACACACTAAAGGAAGTGAGCGGACTGTGACTTCAGCTGAAAGAGAAACACTGTATTTTGAAGCTATTTTGTGGAGCATTTTGAGGCCCCAGAGCAAACCGAAAGAGCTGGAAAAGCACTAACGAGAGGCCAGAACATAAGTAACCAGCTTGACATGAGATGCCTTGACTTTCCTGGCTCCATGAGGACCAATTACCACAGGAGCCAGGGTACTAGTGTGCAGTCACAAGCAGGGCTAGTGTCCCAGGTGGCTCCTGACCTCCCTCCCACCTGCACCACTTGCATTTCTCAGTGAAGGAGGCAGCAGCCCTGTCTCCTCTCACCTACTTAGAAGCCAGAGAATTGCATAACAGATCTGCCCGCTCTGCGCATGAACATAAACAGGTCAAACCCATTGGAATAAGCTAAGACTTCAGTGGCACTAAAATGGGTTGCTTCCACTAGAAGATCTCAACAACCTTGAGAACCTCATACCTGGAGTTTGGAGGCATTTCCCTTGGAACTGGGAGGACGGGTCAGTGTGGAGAAGCCTAGACGTCTCTTGGCTAGCTGACTGTTGTTCTGCTTTCCTTCCTTCCTGAGGATCCTCTGACACCTGACAGCCATGGGGCTCTTGCTCAAATTCAAAGTAAAATTCCACTTTGGGGAGGTCAGATGTGACACTCCAGCATGCCTCATACCTCTGCCCTCCACGGTTACTCCCTTACGGAGGAGGCTGAGATTGGGTTTCATTAGGATTAGCTGGTAAGCAAAGGGTGCAATTTCCTAACCCCTCTTTTTTAGGGCAGAGAGGGTATTCTTATCATTGCACTAACTGCCACCATCCTCTGAACTTCTACAACTGACCAGCAAGTGTGGGGAACCTGCTGGTTCAGGCCTCTGCTGGCACTTCCGGTGCAGGAGAGAGAGAGACAAGATGCATAACGCCGTACATGGCCCTACCCATAAACAAGGCGTGCCAGCACAGTCCATGAGTGCTGTGCTAGAGGACTGCACTGTGCCAGCACAGTCCATGACTGCTCTGCTAGAGGACTGCTTGGGAGCTGTTTTTCCGTCACATACTCTTTTTTATTTTTTTTTGAGACAGAGTCTCACTATGTCGCCCTCAGTAGAGTGCTATGGCATCACAGCTCACAGCAACCTCAAACTCTTGGGCTTCAGCAATTCTCTTGCCTCAGCTTCCCAAGTAGCTGGGACTATAGGCATCTGCCACAATGCCAGGCTATTTTCTTGTTGCAGTTTTCATTGTTTTTTTGGCTGGCCTGGGTCAGGTTCAAACCCACCAGCCTCTGTGTATGTGGCCGTAACCACTGTGCTACTTTTGCCCACATATTCTTTTTAAAAACCTTTAAAACACAGGAAATAACAATAGGAAGAGAAACTTCATTAGCCTGGACATGCCAATCTTTGCCAGCTATTCCTCTTTCGATAACCATTCTGTACTCCCCGAGAGAGGGATACAGCAGGCCCAAGCCTGATCTGGGCTGAGAATCATTAAGTTAATTAAGAAGGCTTTCCCCCAAATCGCTCTGGCACAAACACAAAAAGTTAGACTCAATTTGAATTTGTAAAATTCAGAAATTTCTCTCTAGCAGTTTGGTCTCTGACCCTTGGGTCCCACTTAATAGGTAGGTCACCATATGAACTGATTTCCCTTAGGTAAGGACAAAGACAAAGTTTTCTGTTGTTGCTGTTTTGTTGTGGCATAAAGAGTTCTGTAAGTGGTCAAGAATGTAACTTCAGGGACTGGATGTAGTGGCTGACACTCGTAGTCCTAACAGTCTGGGAGGCCGAGGGAGGCTGATTGCTTGAGCTCAGGAGTTTAGGACCAGCCTGAGCAAGAACGAGACACCCTCTCTACTAAAAATAGAAAAACTAGCCGGGCGTTGTGATGAGCACTTGTAGTCTCAGCTACTGGGGAGGCTGAGACAAGAGGATTTCTCAAGCCCAAAAGTTTGAGGTTGCTGTGAGCTATGATGCCAAGGCACTCTACTCAGGGTGACAGAGTGAGATTTTGTCTCTCTCTACATATATATGTATATACATATATATATGTAATTTTAGAAGCAAACAAATGGCCCGTATTTCCCCCAGAAATCCAGGTGCCTGGTATTCTCAATATTCTACTCTGTAGACTCCTTGAAGACCTCTGAATCCACAAGAAAGAAGCATGCTTGTCCCTGCTCAGTGAATAATTCCACAGGCACAGCAGTCCTCAGAGCGTGTAGGCAGGCTAGTACGTTAATGAAGGTTTTATTTCCTGCCAAGTGTTTTCACTTACAGCAAGCACTTACACTTTTATTCTGTAGTATACATTTAGTTCTAACACCTGTTTTCAGGCTCATTTTTCCAGACTAGCTACTTTCCTATAAACATGTACTTCTAGTAATTAAGGATTTTATTATGTGACTTTATAGTTCTTCCCTCAAGGAATCAAGGAAGAAGTTGCAACATCAATTTCTATGAGGGCATTGTCTGACACAAAATACCGGTGAATGTAGTAGAACGTTCAGTCCCATTACAGAAGGCTTTTTGTTGGGGACCCACGAGGTTGGTCCTCCTAGTAAGCCCAGGTCTGCTCAGCTGTAGGCTTGGCCTTGGGAGCAAACACACCTGCTGGGCCACTCGCCAGGGATTCAGCTCCTGTGTGTCTGGCTGTTGAAGGGGCACGGTCCCCTTCCTGTGCGCCCACCAGGCCTTTCCCTGAGTGCTTTAACATTACACATTCAAGGGAAGTGAGGGTCAGATAGCAAACACAGAGAATCACAGAGCTAAGGAGGCGGCCCCCTCTGCTGACCAGTGCCAGCCTGCCCACCCAGCCCCTTTGTGGGGGCAGTGAAGGGAGCACCCACGTTTATTTGTGAGCCCCCCCAGCCTCCATCCTCACTCTCTGTCGCTGCCTTGGGTTGGTGGTGGTGTGGAAGCCATCGGGGCCGTGGGTTCTCCCGCCATCGAACGGAGCACGTGGAAGCAGAAAGGAGAAGGCTCGTGTGCTCCAGCCTCAGATTTGCCTGAGTCAGTGATCCGTGGAAAGCAGAATCCAGAGACACTTGAGCTTTCAGTTTTCCTCTTGATTAAGTCACTTTTAATTTGCAAACAAACTTCAGAAGTGTCTTACGAAGAGACTACTTAAAGGGACCCTGTGGTCATACGTCATACAGGGCGTCTGTTTGTGAGGACCCCCTTTGTGTGTTATTTCACTATCTCATTTATGTTTGCCCACACATTTTGGCATCACAGCTCACAGCAACCTCAAACTCTTGGACTTAAAGCAATTCTCTTGCCTTAGCAACTCAAGTAGGTGGGACTACAGGTGCCTGCCACAACACCAAG